GTCTGTACCAGTCTGCGTTTAAGACGTCACTAATATCAAGATGTCATGCTGCCATCCGCACATGAGTGCTGTCACATAATTCTATCTGTGATGTGCGATTTCAAGCTGGTAGTGACCTTGTTTTCATATGGCGTTTTTTTTAAAGAACACCGCACACATTGCAGTTTTCAGGGCATCGTCAGCAATATCCTTTACGAGGTGACAAGCCACCTACTGTATCCCAACATTTTACGAGTGAGGTGAAGATATTCCACGTTCTCAGCGATGGCTCGCAGCGTTGCTGAAATACAATACGAGCTATCATCAAATCACAATGTGTATTGCATTGGTGGTAACAAGCCTCCTTGGCACGCCCTGGTACTGATTTGCTTATTGCAATTGCTACCATTTTGCAAAACGGTTATTCATAAGCTTCCAACGTTACGTTTGGTTATGGACACCCGTAACAGCCCCTTTATGTTTAGGTATTTTAATCTCAATGATGTGCCATGGCACGTGCACTTGTGCGCAATGGCCAGCACGCCGGACCTCAGCTCTCTCTCTCCCATCAGGCCCTCGGATGTGACGAATCTACGCCTGGTTTCTCTTATTAAGTTTAACTATGCCGCTATTTCGAACATATCAGTCTGCTGAGTGGTGACACCGGGCCGAGCAGAAACACCATTGGGGCAGCGCAGCGCACCGAGCCAACCAGGGGCCGCGATAGCCATAATCGACCGGCGACATAGCCTTACGTCTTGCCCCCCGCCCCCCCTTCCCCCCCCAGCAACAATGACAGGCTATCGAACACTGATTGGCCCTGGTTGGTTGCTGATCGGTTGGTTGCTGATCGGTTGATCGGTTGGTTGTTCGGTTGCTGACCCTTGCTTTCAGGGCGTATGCCGTTTTGTACTTTCACGTTTTGTTTGATCAGACGCTTTTATCGACAATACCGGGGTGCTGGTAGTGTAGTGGTTAGCGCGCCTGCGTTAGCGCGTCTGCGTTAACCACCGCGCGTCTGGGAAACCAGAGATACGGGGTTCGATTCCCCGTGGTGCCCGCCCTTCCTGTCAGGGTGAGAGGCAGGCGACGCCATATAGCCTCAACAGCTGAGTGCGTCGTAAAGCCCCAATGACACACATATCGGCAATACCAGTTTTCTCGAAATCCCTATGAATAACTCAGAATTTCTGTTTGAAGTAGGCGCTTCTGCGGGAGAAATCTCATTGGACTCCGTGCTCACCACTTTGAGTGATATCCTCAAATTGTCTCGCTTTTCATATTCAACGCGCGTGTTCTGCGATGCTTGCAACACACTTATTTGCCAAACTGCTTTGGTATGAAATGCTATGAAAGTTTGAAGCACTTTGCTGAAAATATGCAGGCATTAGGCTATTATCCCGCAGACAACGAAAAGTTTTGACTTGACTTGGCGTTTACCACAGTGGCTGTTTTCGAAGAGCACTTTGAATTTGGGAAACGGTGTATCACATGGTCTATGATGACGCAATGTATCAAACTTCAACCAATGCGCTCCTCGGCAACTGGCCCTCGCCACTCGCTTTGCCAATCGCAAACGTTGATTCGTACTGACGTCATTTATGCTAGTACAGGCGCTACTTTTGAGCTTGCACGCGCGCGATGTGCGGATGAAAACAGCTCAAAGTGGTTCTCCTAACCCGTAACGACTGGCAACGGCTCTCAGCGGATTTGGTCGTCATCATGACAACAGCGGTCGCGACAACCGCAGTTGTTGCGGACTTTAACAACACTCTGGATCTGCCACGAGGAGTGTAATGCTGTTACAAAGCGTTGACAGCGTGGACCAAAAAATAGCCAAACTTTATATCCGGACTATATCCTGATGGTGGTGCAGTAGCACTACCCACTGCTATTATAGACCAAAGGGTCCTGAGGGTTCACCAGGGCATGTTTTAAAAAATGCCACAAAGGTGAGACACTCCATCTAAGCGTCTCGACTCATTTATATACAGCTCTGCCACATCTCATGTGTTTTTGTGCCCTGTCCAAGTCCGCTACCTGTGAACATGAGCCCCTTCACTCTTAAACATTGTCAACATGCACACACGTATGCACGCATGCACGCACATCACGCACGCACACGCACGCACGCATGCCCATGCACTCGAGCATGCACATGCACACACACACACATAAACGCAAGCACGCAAACGTATCTCAACTGTAACGCCTGAAATGCAAAAATGCGAGACTAAGTGGTAAAATACGAAATGTTAAGTGACATCTCGTAAATGTGTAGATATTTCAAAAATAATGAAATACTACTACTAATGTCCTGATGGGATGCCTGCATGCAGTTATGCGTTAAACGAGCATGGCTCTGAGTTTGTGCTCGTCCGAGTAGTTGCATTGAATGAAAAACGAATGCTGCCATTTTCAAGTCGCGCCATATGTCATTCAACATGACTGCTGTGTATATGACTTGTGACTCAACGTGACTGCGACTGAAATGTTTCAAATCTAGATGACGCATATCGACCTAGAATTTAGTCCGTTTGTTTTCATGAACGACGATGCTTTGGTAGTTTCTTCTTTGAGCTTATCAACAATCGCCACAAATTTTGACATCTGTTTGGGTGATTTCCTTTGACACCGCTCAGGCACGACCCGCTCTGGCGTCGACCTTGCTTTGGACAGCCCATGCCCAGACCACGGGCTGTCACATCATACTGGGGCCGCATTGGGACTGACGAAGTACTGCCTCCTTTCTCCAGTGCGGCCTCAGTGTGGTGTGACCCAGTACGGAGTCCCCCAGATGGGTCTTGACGGGAACGACCCAGAGGCCAGGAGGCTCGTGCACCTCTTATGTGTGGATTGGTGCGGTGAACACATGCATCGAAGGTGTGTAATATATATGGATATAATTGCATGTTCCTCCATATGTTGTCCGGCAGAACTCTAAAGAAATGGAAATGCCCCCCCCCCACATTGCATCTCCGAGACATATATATATATATATATATATATATATATATATATATATATATATATATATATATGTATATCCATCGGCTGGCTTTAGATTCAATCGATGATATGTATCGATTACCGATGTTAGTATCTTATTTTCGATGAATATAAAGGGATAGAGAATGCCGAGAAAACTTGGTGTGGCACCACCACGAAGTAGGACACATATCAGCGAGGAAACAAGATTACTACCATTCCAGTGAATGCAGGCGAGGCCACTGCCACACCTGTCATATCCCACTCTCCACTTAGTGATGAATATGAATGTAAAATCAGCCATGAGGCTCCACGGATGTTTCACGGGCTGGATAAAAACTGTGCCTGTAGCATGCCATTCCAGCGCATGACTTCGTCCCATGGGTCCGAGAACAGCCGTCATGGCTTCGTCCTATTTGCCGTGGACGGATCAACATAGTGAAATAAAATGGTTTCTAATGATAATAAAATCCACTTAACTTCCCTCGATCGTTCCAGGGGCTCAAAAGTCGAGGTATAAACTTAACAAGCCGTTTAGTCTTTATCGTTCTAGTCAACCGCTGGTTCTCGCAGAAAAGCCATCAAGCGGCTCCACTAGTTTTTGCTGTCCACCATTACACCATGGCTGCGTGCGGTTGATCCCATCGCCGCCCGTCTCAGCCTCTGCCGTCTCAGTTACCTGCGGAACACAGCAGCGCGTCGAGCCCGGCCCGACCGGCTCTCTTTCTAGCGGCGGCAGCGGTGACAAAAAGTGGGCGCGGCGAACTGAAGGCGGTGTCGGGTTTCCCGGCTGCTGATTGGAGTATTGGATTACGGCCGGGCGCTGATTGGGTAACGCGCGGCTGCCAGAAGGTGTCGGTGCAGTGTGAATGGGGAACCGGAGTGGCTCGAGCGCACCAGCAGGCGGGCGTGGCTGCGGGCTGTCACAGCAGCTCGGGCCTGTCTGGGCAGCAGCTAGAGCTCCACACCGATACCGCACTTGGCTGAATGGTCTCATACCACGTTGGTGAGTTGGCACATAACCGCTCTACACATCAAATGTGTTTTTTTATTGGCTCACAACGGGCACAACTTGACATGTTTGTCAATGAAAGTCACATTCCTTGCGGGCCATGCCTTGACTCCTTGTAACCTAATGGTTTTGCGCCGCCAAGACATATGTATATGACGGGTTTCAGGGTTCGATTCCTAGCAACAGCCAACGGGGCGCTTTTTCTTCTCTGAGAGATAAGTCGGGCGGGCTGGGCGGTGAAAAATTACTCAACCCGCCGCCCGAAATACCAGCCAACGGGTTTATCTCTGGATTTCGCCACCTTTCTTTCCAAAGCTTGGGGGGGGGGGGGCTAGAGCCCATATTGGGGGCTGAAGCCCCCTCTTCCCAACTGAATAGGAAACTACACCCCTGGCCGCCATGCCTTAACGTGCGGCCAGCAGGCGCCGTTTGAGTAATGTCCGTGGCATGTCCACGTGAACGTTCTCATCTAGGGCCACATCACTCGCTTCAACGTTCTCAGGTGCGCGTCATCGTTAACGGGATTCTGAAAAACTGTATTTGGTTTTGAGCCGAAATAGCTATGTTGAAAATTACTTACGCATTCAGTGCATTCACATGCCTAGCCTTTTTAAGATATGATTTCTGTTTCTGAGCTAGACGCCCACGAACTTGTGCAAATTTTCGTGCGGACTATTTCAAGGTCAAACAAGCATGCATGACGCCACACAAATAATACAGCCTAACGGCAATAGTGCTCAAGGTCAAGACCGCCATTTCTGGGATCACCGACGACCATCGGCTCTCAACCAGTTAAATGCATCCAGAAAGTTTGGAATATCATTCGATCACTTGGAATACAGCCGTTTCGACCAGTACTTAACATTTCTGGGCTATGGGATGCAGAGGGCTGCTCGATAGTGGAGCAGGATTACATGCGCCTGGGGGACCGACCGCCGAGCTTAACCCGCGCAGAAACCCTCCGTAGGGTTTGTATGCACCGGGCGCCTGGTCGCGGTCCCCCTCCAGGGAGCCTCTCGACTCACTCGTGGCTGGCGCATACAGCCTGCCGTGGACAAGCGGGGCGTCGCGAGGATGCCGGGCGAAGCAGGAACGAGGATAAGGTGGCAACCTGTAGGGTGACAATTTTGCATGGCTAGTTTGGCCGCACCTGAGCGGCATGCAACCGTTCCATGGTGTAGTCAATGATGTAGTGAAGGAGCACATTTAATATATCGCAAATTTATGTTGTCTAGGGCAGTCTTCCCACTTAAAACTGTATCAGTAGTAATAAGTGAGCTGAACTCACCACATAAAATGTTTGCCTCAATGACCTCAAAATGTGGACCATTCCCTTAAAATCAAAGTACATTTGAAAATGATACACCAAAATCAGAATGCTAGTTGCCGTGGATGATCATACGTTGGGTGATATCCGTCGATAAACACACCTTTGGTGGGAGACTGGCTCGCCGGGCCGTCGGACCACCCACTCTCAAGTCTTTTGACCGAAACGACGTCCTTAGCTACAAACAAGGACGCAGCCATATTAAAGATATGGCAATGCGCCGATTTTGTAGCTGCACTTTGCGTAGATTTAGGTCTGTCCGAGCGTAAAATCCTTTGTTTGCTCCTCATTTTGTCTTGAGCATGCAAGGGGACTTCGGAAAAAACTTGTTTAACGACATCTTATTGCACATCTTGGAGACACCTAACAACATAAACTCCCTGACTTTTGCCTTTTCCTTCCGCTAAATTTTGATTTTTTGTCATCTGAATGAGCACGTACTCGAGCTGCAACTTGGAACTTAAGTATCAGGTGCCAAGTTCCCCTCTGCAGATGTAGAACACAATACTGGGAACCCAGTTTTTTTTGGGGGGGGGAGGGTCGTGGCCCCCACTTAGATATAAAGTCCCACTCCTCCGGAACAACGGCAAAAAAGTATGGGAAAGTTGTTGAGCAGCTGGGGTGGCGAAAGTACCCTCCGGCGTTTGCAGTGCGAAGAGCTTCCTTTGACAACATCCACACACAGTGCGTTTCGTTCACCACCTCCATGTTGCTGTTATAGTAGCGCCAAGTTCGTTTACCGCTGTGTGAGGCTTTGTACTTTTTCTCGCTTCAACAGAGCGGAAAAAGTCTTGCGTTCTGCGACGTCGGGTCTGCCTGAACTTGTAGGGGATAATTCGCCGTTCTGCATCTTGTGAGAGACGTATCCCCCCAGCGCCGCCGCCCCTGCCCACGGACACTCCCACGCGGATGCCTCCCACGCCGGCTGGCGCCAGAGCACTGCACAGACTGGACAAGCCCATGGGTACCCGAGAAACGTGTAACGGGCGGGCATGGGTGGGGGTAGAAGAAGAACGTTTCAGAAATGACGGGCGGATGCTTCAAAAACGCTAAGGAATGTTACCGCTTGCGCATCTTTTCACGTGCATTTAGTGCATTCGTACTGCATTTGCAGCCGCCTATCGGAGCAAAACGGCAAGCTTGGTCGTGATTTTTGTTGTAACTTGTTCATTAATTAGAAATTAGGTGCAGGAAATACAAGCAGCTGGGTTATACGTGAGTGGAACCGATTAGGAAAGGAATGGTTAGTGGGTCAGATGGACAGTTACGCGGGTGGCGGGCGGACTTAGTAAAGGAAATCCCACCCGTGAAGACCTCCAACTGAAGTGCACCGCAGACGGTCCCGTGGCACAGAAGCGAGGTCGTTGGTCAGCAGTTCATTGCGGCTCCAGCCGCTGCGACAGTAGCAACCAATGCTATGTTCTGGGTGACGAATGTATTCGGCTACTGAGCGCGCTCGGCTATGCTATGCACCAGTGACGATGCGACTGTTCGAGTGAGAGACCAGTGAGGCCACGCCACCATTACAGTCGGCACCAGCCCCTGGTGCGCTGTCTGGTCTGCTGAGCAGCAGCAGTGGTAGCGGCGGCGGTAGCGGCGGCGGCGGCTGCGGCGGCCATTTTACGGACCGGGGCGGACCTAGCCGACGCGGGGGAGGCCCGCGGTGTCGGCTGGGGCGGCGCGCGCCGTCTGGGCGCCGGCCGCGGCGCTCCGGTGCCGCCAGCCGCCCGGCTCGGCAGCCGACGCCGCCTGCTGCGGCTCGCCGGCTGACATCGTCTCCAGCTGCGGCGCCAGCACCGGTCAGGCGAGTCGCAGGCGGAGCGGTAGGAACACACCAGTACGGTCAGAGCGCAGACAGGACAGCACTGGCTGGTCACGACAGCCACATAACACCGATCAAAGTGGACGGAACTGGGAACAGCGACGGGAAGGGCGCCACATTTCTTGTTCCTATTTCCATTGCACTAAGGAACTAGCATTATTTGCTCCCTATCTCTGCATAATTTTCGCGACGTTTGAGGATAAGCATCATTTCAAATGTTGTTTGCGCTGCTTCTGCATATCATTGTTTGCATTTTTACGCGCTAGCCTGCAAGCAAATTTTTTTTTAGACTGCTGTCCGTTGCGACACAGTTATCCAAAAGCACGTGCCTAATCCATTCCGGGTCATGGCTGATAAATGTTGCAAACAGCCTATGTTACTGGACCCCACGACCCCATGGTAGCCGATAGCGCATTCTACGTAAGTGCCTGATTTAAAGGGTGTGTTCCACATTTGTATGGGGCTTTGAACTAAAATAGCCACCTTGAAGATTATTAGGTGCAGTTCACACCACTGCCCTTCTAAGATGTAAACCGCTATAGTTTGTGAGCTACACGCCCGCAAAGATGAGCGGGCTATTTCAGGGAGACTATTTCAAGGCTACCCAGGCATCCATGACGCCATAAGAGCGTCATTCAAATCCTGTCATTCCATTAGCCATGCTATGATCAAAGCCAAGCAAGATACAATCGTCGAGTCGTTTATATTTAGCGTTCGTGAGCACCATTTCTAGATATAACGGCAGTCAATTAGCTCTTAATCATTGTTGTGCAATGTTGTTGTGACGTAATCAAACAATGACGCATTGACGGACATGTTTCTTGAATAGTGGAAGTCTGTTATGTAAAGCAGCCTTTTCCACTTAAAAGTATACCAACAGTCAAAAGTGGGCTTATTTGATCGTATCTGGTGCTCACTTCAATAACTTCAAATGTGAAACATTCCCTTAGATGTCGGGCCGCCACACTACCCTCTGCGGTTCCGCTCAGCACAAAGTGAACCTTTTTGGGAGCGGACTAATATACCTTGTTCTACAGTCATAGTTTCACCTCCTGGTACAGATTGACGAATGTCTATTTCAGACATGCGGTGTCCCATATCTATGGACTTCACCTCTGAGGCCACGATTGTTACATTGCTTTATGCAAATAGTTATTATATGACCTGCTTTACTCTAGGTTTATATGCTTTGACCTGTGCACGAAATGTGTATTCTTCAATGCAGTGGACTCCCTCGAACTTGTATCGCCGAGGGTAACCGGACAAAAAATAAAAAGCCCAGAACCCAAAGGATGACATGTCAAGTGTGGAGAATCAACAATGACGAAACGTAAAAACGGATAAAAATCAAACACAAATTGTAAAAGGAAACACGCCAAAAGCACGAGAAGAAGAACACAAGACAAAACGGCAGAGGTCAAAGATATTAAATACAATGAGCCACAGATGAAGAGCATCACAAGTTCATAAGACTGTAAATCAAATAAACAAAGTAAAGCAACCCTTCACTCCATTTCCGGCCCGTAATCCACACCCGAGCTCGTGATTGCAGCACCTCAGGCAACTCGTGTGACCATGGTGGACCGTATTTGGCGTGCACTCTGATGCACATATTTTCTTCACTCCCCGAATTCCCCAACCAGAAACAACTTCACTGCATTATTCTCAAACCGAAAGTACTTCGGTTCGTACCCCGTACTGACTAACCGACTGACATGCGGTTTCCTGCAAAACAATCATTTTAGTAACCTGAGTTTCTCACGTAGGCAGGGACCAGCCCTGCCGTCTGTTCAGTTTTATTTGGTTTGCGTAGTGCACGGCGGCCGGACTAGAGTGCACGCCAATGGGGTCACCTCTCTTTAAGAGACGAGACGGGTATTAAGGGAACAGACAGCCTAAGCATACAGGCCCATTTTTGGAGAGGAGTGTGACCCCCAAGGTGTCTTAACTTTTTAAGGTATCTTAACTTGGGAAATACCAGCGATTATTTTACAAGTTATCGTTTGACTGGTAGTTAGCGAATTCGTAGAGTTCTTTCAGCAGGAATATACGCCCACGTTATCGACAGCAACGCATCAGTCAGCGGGCTTCCCAGTCGGCGCCGCTGGACACCCCACACAGCATGCCCCCCCCCCCCCCCCCCCCCGACGCCCCGCTGTGGCATCGCGCACTCACCAGTTTGTTGACCTCGAGTGTCTCGTCCTGGGAGCGGTCGGCGGCTCCGGCGGCGCCGTGCTGGCTCTGGTAGCGCAGCCGGCGGATGTGGCGGGTCACCGGGCTGCAGTCGAAGTTGAGCCGCACACCCAGCTCTGCCGGCGTCCAGAGTGGCCGCGGCCGGCCGACAATGACACCGACACCGACACCAGCACCGGCCGACACGTCTCACACCGGCACCGGCAGGCACGTCTCACACCGGCACCGGCAGGCACGTGTCACACCGGCACCGGCCGACACGCTCCACACGCCGGCGCCGGCAGACACGCCCCACACGCCGGCACCGGCAGACACGTCTCACACCGGCACCGGCAGGCACGCCCCACACGCCGGCACCGGCAGACACGTCTCACACCGGCACCGGCAGACACGCCCCACACGCCGGCGCCGGCAGACACGCCCCACACGCCGGCAGACACGTCTCACACCGGCACCAGCCGACAAGTCCCACATATTGGCACCGACTGACCAGCACACACTTTGTCTTACAGACACAGGAACGCACCACCCGCCACAGCGCCAGGGAGTGGCAAACAGCACACGGGTGCAGCACAGCTCAACACAGTATGTAAACGATGTCATGCAGAATCCCTCTGGCGCGCATGCGATCAGTCGGCTACATTTTCTGCAAAGAAAACAAACTTGATGATAAATAAGCAATGGACAGCTAACAAACATACAGTAAACAAAGATGGGAGTAGGAACAAGGGGAGGGGCGAGTAGTCCATGTCCTCCACTTTTCAAGGTGGGGTGGAGGTAGCAGTGTTGAATGCTCCCCCCCCCCCTCCCACCACACACACACTTTTCATACTTAAATTGGGTTTGGCCTACTTTTTACTGTCTTAAACAGATATGCGAATGCATCTACTTAACCAGTATGCTTCCTCAAACCGAAATGCGCAAAACCGCTCCACGTGGTAAACAGCAGCATCTCATGCCATCATCTACGGCGGACGAAGGTGCTTGGGGAAAACTCTTGGTTACTCTAGTGCAAAAGGCTGCGTTCTGTCTTTTTATATAGGCCTGATTCTTCAGCGTGCATGCGTGCATTCCATTTGATGATGGCAGACCCTGTGGGAGATTGTGCATCTATATCAATACCATACCCTTCACTCTTGCCTGTGGTCTCAACCTCGAATGAGAAGCAATGGATAGATCACAAAATTACTCCATTTCAGCAGACATGCAGTCTTCATATGAGTCCTGCAATTTTGATGAACCATGAACTCTAAATCCAAGCGTAACCAGAATCCGGAACTTGGGATGTTTCTAGAACGTAAACCCTCACTCTCTTCGTACACTTTCCAGGAACCCAAGGACGTAAACTTCCATTCACTTCACGTAAAAGGTTTGATGACGAAACATTCTAACAGGTTGTACCATCTCGCCCTCGTAACCAAACAATATTTGCAGTTGCTTAAATATCACACATAGAACATCCGCGGACAGTTTTCACCACTGCCGGTCATCTGATCTATGGGCACAGCCCGGTAGTGAATCAGCTCGACGCGCATCTCGTCAAAAAGGACCAACGCGTCTGGCTCCGTGCCGATGCCAGGCTGGAAGAAAAGCTGATAGCCGACAGTCAGCGACTCAAAACTGAGCTCCTTCTTAGAGCTGCGTGAAGCAGAAGTTTTCCAGAACCATGCCTTATCTGCAACTATCCAAATACTCCATGCGGGCCATCGGCGGGCAGTGTTTAAAAAGGAGAAAACGGTGCAATCGTGACGCCCACCTTCAAAGCAGCGCACAGTAACCACCTTCTTTAAGAGTGAATGGCGTAAATTCTAGAGTAAGGAGTAACTTCCCAAGCTTTTCCCTCTAATCAAGTTGCACAGAGTGACTTTTATCTATTAATTCCAACACCCGTAAAATTCTATTTACGGGAGGAATGGAAATAGGATTTTACTACGCACTTCAGCAAGCATCCGTCAGGTTTCATAAACGCAGCTGATTTGATCGCGGAGAACAATTTCACTGCGAAAATGAAGTAAAATAAAAAGATGCCTTGCATTCTCGTAAAATGAACAGCTGTGCTCCTGCGGGAGCCAGTGCGAGGTCAAGAGCGGAGGCGTGGGACGTTTCGAGACCGGATCAACCTGCAGTGGGAAATGACTAAGTCACTCCAGCAAGTGAGTTTATATCACCTGCAGTTCTGATGGCGTTGATTGTTCTACGTCCTCGTTTCGACAAAACATGGGTTTCAAACCGCCCTCCCTTACCGATACAGTAAGCGCATTACGAGTGTTTTGGTTACAAGGCATTACTGTCGCATGGATTGGGCTAATGTCGAATGGAAAGGTGAATTACCTTTTATTTGCACATAAGAAGCACGACAAGTGAACGAGTACAAACAACAGTCGCATTTACCAGAAGCGTAACAGCTTAGTGTTGTTCAAACCAGCCCTCCAGGTTTTGACCCGCCTGTTTTTTTCTCTTTAGATTACATACCAATATTCAAAATCTCGAAAGGCTTTAAGAAGCCGTTTTCGGATCTCTGCTGTGATGGCAGAGGCCATGATGGGTGTAATCGGGCCTGGCTTAGCCCACCCCACCTGGGGGAATCATGCACTGGCACCAAGCGAGCAGTTCCTTATTCCGCCCAGGTAAGTGATGTTGCGAAAATAATCCTGTCACATGTGAAGGCAGACTGATAGTTATATGTGAGTTAATTGTCATGTCTTAGCTGTAGTCGTGCATGCCACGACGTGCAAGGAGTATGATACGGCATTTGGCATATGTATGTTAGACTGGTGCTATTGGCGATCATCAGTCGGACACGAACTCGTCAATATGCCGTGCCGTATATGCTGTACGCAGTTTACTCATCATACTGCACCTGAAACATGTGCTTGGAGTATGGAAATCTCACGCTAATGAAAAGGCGTATCACGTGTAATAACTAATAAAACATTTATTTCACAGTCATTTATTTACTACGTCGCTGCCTGCGCAAGGCATGTTAGAAAAAAAATGAAGTAATACCTTAATCTCAGGTTTTTTTCATCCGTTAGGTTTTATTTGCTTGTGGCGAACTGCCATGGACCACCGAAGTGTGCTGTATGCCGCGTCGTCCACCGTGTAAGCGCGGCAATGCAGGCGAGACCAGCTGGCCCCATGGCTTGGGAGACCGGACAAAAGCTCCAGGAAGTTCAGACAAAGCTGTTTCGTATGCAGGCCCGCGGCTGTTGCACGTAAGCGGCCTCCCGCCAACAAGACATGATATCTGCGCGACTGCCCCGATACGCATCACATTTCTGCTTGCGCTCATCGTCATGTGAACCCGTCACTTACTCCGTAGCACTTACGGTGTACTTAGCACTTACGGACCTCAAAATGGCCATCGGCTCACTTCGGGAGTATTTCATATGAATGGTCGCGAGACGATGCATGTGTAGTTCTAAGGTTTTGTCTTCTAGTTTGGGTGAAGCCCCCGCTCTGTTCTGCATTACGAAGCTAATCTCCTGTGCGCGTCATATGTATTTCAGGGTGCGTAGATGGGATGCATGTTGACATCACGATGGCGGCCGATAAAGTCGACCGGCATACGAAGCGCAAATCGCAGACCAGTCTTAACGTGATGGTCGTCGCTGGACCGAACTGCAAGGTGCTAGCCCTCCCGACCGCGCGACCGGCCCATGCAATTTGCATTACATGCATCAATATCAAAGCCCAAAAATCTCGATAATACAAAATGAAGAACAGGAGTCTAATAACATGGCCCTCTGATGCACAGAAGATCCTCCTACTGCAGAATAGGATCCTTCCAATTGACAGAAAAGGCCTCCAAAATCCGGCCAACAGCCTTATTACCATAAAACAGGGCATCCTAATAGAGTAACGGCCCTCTGAGAAATGAGAGGGGTTATCTTGGTTCACAGCTCAGTCCTGAGCTCATTTTGCGGAACTAAATTCCTGTTCGTTGAATGTGCGGTGTATGCGACATATGCAGGATGTGGGGCCGTCCAGCGTTTTCATTGGAATTACGTAGAAAAAAGCGTCGTAGTACTTCGCTGTATTTTATTGCCTCGCACAGCAGAAGCGCTTGGTATTATAAGGATTTGACTGCAAATAGGTTTTTTACAATTTTAACAACATGGTTATGATTAATTACGGGTGTCCAAGCTGCCGAATCCATGATGACGTTGTCGTTGACATCGACAACGAACGGGCGTGCCAATGAAATTACTTCAGCCTGACCACTTCATGATTTACTTCAGCGGAGTGATGCCGGGTATATGAAACCGGCGTAGGAAGCAGGGAGCTACACCAACCTTACTTCGGCCAGCCCGAAGTAAGTAGTAACTTCTCTTTATGAAACTGGGTGCGGGGCGCATGGATTGCTCGACCATAGCGAACACTGGACCAAGGCGATGGAGCAGTCAACCACCACCTCCTTCCAAGAAGCGTGTGCCATTTTTGATCGCTGACTGTCGTCGCGGGAAATGACAGCCCGACGCCCTCCGTCTGTGGAACGCCAGGGAAAATAGCTGAAGACGTTATCCGTCAAAGCTACCATCAGTTGAATGACACACGGGAGTACAGCGAGCGGCGTAGAGCGTTACGGCGCACCGGGAACAAAATCCTCCAGATGTGCGGTCGACGGCTCAGCGACCCCGTCGGCCGGAGCCGGCAGCCGAGCCTGCATGCCAGCCGAGCCGAGCCGCGCCACCAGCGGACAAGTAGCTGGACGCCGCGGAGAGGCCGGAGTACGTGGCAGCTCACTCGGACCGGCTCACTGCACCAGAAACACATCGTCGCCCACGCCACACGGCGTCGACTCGAGAAACAAACAGGTGGCGCCACCCTCGGCGAGGCACCTGGACTCCGGAGATACGCGCATATATCACCCATCCATTACACAAATTGTGAAAGGGGCTCACAGCAGTGATTTAGATGAAGTTGCGCAAACGTTGTGCGCCATGGTACTCGTAGCCATAATCTAACTCAGGTGTTACATATACACGTTAATCGCCATCACGCTATTCCCCATATATCGATATTACATTTTACAACGTTACCAAAATGTCACTGTGATGTGATTGCCATCCAGTCTACATCCGAATGACCACTGCTTTATTCGAATGCATGTATC